CAACAATGGCCATGAACTCGTCGCAGACTATCACAGCCTTAAGTACGTTTATGGAACTTGTGAGAATATATGATGTAACATGTATTTTTTATAACATTACGTGGTGTATATTCACGTGTTCTAGCATGTTTGCATTAGTAAATGTTCATGTTTGCATTCGTACATAGATGTGCGAGCATGCATTTTTGTTTGTGTATGTGCCCGTCCATGTTTGTGTGCCTGGGAGTATGAATTTTGTCCTGCGTGTGCATGTCTGAATGGTCCTGTGCTTTTCTTCGCGTGAACAGAGGAGCATTGGGGAGGTGAAGAACTTCAGCGGGGTGAAGCGTCTCCAGGAGAACAAGCACCTTGCGAAGGAGAAACGCACCATGGAAGAGGACCACCTCATTGAGATGAAGCGCCTTGCCAGGGTGACGCACATCCCAGAGGAGAAATGCCTTCCAGACAATCTCCTCAAGAACCACCTCATGGAAAAGCGCGTCATTGAGGAGAAGCGCTTCATGGAGGAGAAGCGCTTCATGGAGGAGAAGCGCTTCATTGAGGAGAAGCGCTTCATTGAGGAGAAGCGCTTCATTGAGAAGCGCTTCATGGAGGAGAAGCGTCTCTCCAGAGTGAAGTACCTCGCAGAAGTGAAGCATCTCCAGGAGAAGCATCTCAAGGAGAAGCGCTTTGCGGAGGAGCGCATCATGGAAGAGAAGCGCCCCATTGAGGTGAAGCGCCTCGCCAATGTGAAGCACCTCACAGAGCAGAAGTGCCTTCGAAACAAGATCCTCAATGACGTGAAATGCGTCATGGAAAAGCGCCTTCTTGAGGAAACGCGCTTCATGGAGGAAAAGCGCCTTCGTGAGGTGAAGCATCTCGAGGAGAAGCATCTGGAGGTGGAGAAGCATCTCGCCATTGTTAAGTGTGTCGATGAGGAGAAGCGCCTCAGAAGCTAAGCGGGTCAAGGAAGACAAGCTCCTCATGAAGGAGAAACGCCTCATAGAGGAGAAGCGGGTGGAGGAAGAAAAGTGCCTTATGGAGAAGTGCCTCAGAGGAGAGGCGGGTGGAGGAAGACAATCGCCTCTTTGAGGTGAAGCATCTCATAGAGCTGAAGCATCTCGAGAAGAAGAAGCATCTTGAGAGTCGGCTTTGCAAGGTGAAGCTTGTCGAGGAGAAACATCTCATGCAGAAGTGCCTCATTGAGGCGAAACTTCAGGAGAAGCACTTGATGGAGGAGAAGCATCTAGTGGAGGAGAAGCGTCTAGTGGAGCAAAAGTGCCTCATGGAGGAAAAGCGCCTAGAGGAGGAGCAGCGCCTCGCCAAGATCGAGCAACACTGGCTCCAGACCGCTATCACCAGCAGCACCACCACCACCGACACCGCCTCTGGCAACACCGCCAGCGCCACCGTCGCCGCCACCACCACCGCCGCCACTCCTGTGCAGGGCCCGATTGCTCCAAGCTTTGCAGAAGAGGGCTTCCAAGAAGAGAAAGCAAACTCTGGAGGCGCTGAGCCACGGTAAACCACTCTGCGTGTGTCCAGTGCGTGTTTATTTTAATTTATTTATTATCATGCTTGTTTACGCAGGATGAGCCTCACTAAGTCTCAATACTTTTTTTCAGAAGGGTCCTGTCAAGTTTGCTCGCAGTTGGTAACAAAGTTGCTGCTGTTTGTGATCCAAATTGAGCGATTTGCATTGTGTGGGTTCAGTTACAGGGAGAAAGCTGCAGAATCCTCCCAGAACAGGGGGCAGCACATTCCACACAGATAACGTGGCCCAACGTGGCCCAACGTGGAAATCAAACCCAGGTCCCTTCTGCTGCTGAGGCACAGGTGCTCCAGCCCTGCCGCACTCACAAAATACACAGACACTGCAAACCCCACGTGTACATTGCGCTATACTGTGGACAGATTTACTTTCAATAATTGGTTTCTGGGTGAGACCAGATAACGATGCGGCCATATTTCACCATTTAACCCTCCATCCACCGTAATAATTGCCTGTTTCCAGGCCAGCTGCCAAGTTGCCTTGTAATGCACAGAGACAGCTACCACTGGGAGGGGTGTCCAATTTCAAATGCGTTGAGATGAGAGATGCGAGATGTGAGTGGCTCATCGCGCTCAATGCACTCTGAGATGCCTTCGACGTCAAGGGAGGCGGCTCTGTCAACCTCAAATCACTGTCGGATCTTTTATCGAAATCGTGGATTGGTTGAAGCAGCCAAAGGGTCGCGCACTCATCGCTCACCACTTACAGTTCAGATCTTGCTTCCCGCCCTGGATATTACTGCCGCCGCATTAACCACAAAGATACACACCCATTTCGTCACAGTGGATGTTCAGGATATCCACCGGTCATTTTAAATGCGTAGGCCATTATGTCCAAGGGATCACTTAGAATACACATAGAAAGAAAAATGTCACTACAAATGATTCAGCTAAATTGACACAGCAAGGCCACCCACTACTGTGAAACTACAACAGTCTGTGTGAGACACAGCTGAATCAATCTCAAGGATAGCCTTGCCCCATGAGAATGACAGCGCCAATGCTAAGCACACTCACTGGCCATGTCGTTATTGCTGTTTGTATTAAGCTTGAATTAATGCGCCACGCATTACACCCACGGACCATGGGAGATGGCGATGTCTGCCGTAGCAGGAAAGTGGAACGGTGTCGTGTTTGTCTCTTCACAGATCTGAGCCAAAGCAGCCCTCCTCCTCACTCCTCCAGGCCTTTGAAGCGAAGTCAGAGGTTGTGCAGAAGGAGACGAAGGAGACGAAGGAAGAGATGAAGGAGATGGAGAATGAAGTAGAGATGGAGGAGAAATTGGAGGAAAAGAAGGCAAAGGAGGACGAGATTGTGATGGTGACAATGGAGGAGAGCACGGAGGGAGAGGATAAAGACAATACGGAGATGGAAGACAAGGTGACAACAAACGATGAACAGATGGTCGTGGTGGAGGAGATGGAGACTACGGACAAAGCGGAAACAATGGTGGTGGTGGAGGAGGAAGAGAAGAGGGTAGAGGAGATGGTGGTGCAAGAGGGTGAGGAGGAGATGAAGGAGGAAGAGATGGTGCGAGTGTAAGAAGAGAAGATGGAGAAGACAGAGGTGGCACAGGAAGAGGAGAAGGAGGTAGAGGAGAAGATGGCGGTGGAGGATGAAGAAGAGGGGATGGAGGAGGATGAGACAGGAGAAGATGGAGGAGGTGCAGGTGGAGATGCACGAAAAGAAGAGGAAGCGAGGGGGCCTCGCTCGCATGGCGAGAGCGTTCACCTCACTCCTCCGCCACATGCTACTTTGTGGAGGCAGGTACACCGCCCAGTAGAGGTGGTGGTCGTGGATCGGTGCCAACCGTGACCGCTATCACCACACGACCCACGGTGCCACTGGGACCACAGCTGGGGAATGAAACGGAGCAGCAGATGCCAGCACTGCAGCGGAGAATGACTGCTGCCAGGAGACCTCACATCACACACACACATGGGGCTATTCCATTAGCATAGCCAGCCCCACACTGGGCCCCTTCCATGCTGGTTTTCATCCAGGTGCTCCTCATGCCATGGTTTCCAGGACATGTAAGGGGCAGCTGACCCAGAATGAGACTGCTGGAGGGGTCTGGTGCAGACAATGAACAACACCTGCACGTGCTAAGTCTTAAGGCCACCCGGTTAAGAATTAGGATCAATATTTTTGTTGTTGTTGTTACTATAAACTTTGTGAAATTGAACTCATGAGGACACAACGTAACGTTGCATTGCTTGCGAGTGCTGCCTGGGTTGGTTTAATGTGCCTTGGCTCGTGTGTGCGGTGTCCCGGCTGTGTGTGCGGTGTCCCGGCTGTGTGTGCGGCGGGACGAGGACAAATAGATAAAAAGAAACGTTTTGGGAAATGGTTCTTCTTCAGAGCACATATTCAGGTGATTCGCCTTCTTCACGACAAATCAACCCCTAATCTGCCCCACTGATCCACTGCTCCAATGCCCCACTGCTCCTTTGCTCCACTGCCTCATTGCTCCATTGCTCCTCTGCTCTATTGCCCCACGTCTCCACTGCGCTCTGCTCCACTGTCAATCTGCTCCACTATTAGTTTCAGTGTGCCATTCTCGAGCACAAGCCTTGCATCATCACCACCCATCAACATTGCCAGCCATCCAACACAACCACACACTCACCATAATACTCGCACACCCACACACTCACCATGATACACACCCCTACCAACCTACTCTCACACACGTCATGAAAGTCACACACGCACCATTACTCACACAAAAACCTACAAACTCACAACGACAACAGCCGTAATTTGCAACTACATGATGGTGATATCACAACAACCCAGGTGCCATGGGTTGACTGCTGTGCCAGGCTAGGTGCAGGAGGAGGTCACGGGATAGAGTCAGGTGTCATGGGTTGACTGCTGTGCCAGGCTAGGTGCAGGAGGAGATCATGGGACAGATACTGATGCTATGGGTTGACTGCTGTGCGACAATCCCACTTGGGCGACAGCCAAGGCCAAAGGTCGGAGTGCAGCCAGTAAACTCCTGAACCTGCACCACCTAGAGAGAAGGGGACATGGAGACATGGGGAGAGAGAGGATGGAGACACGGGGAGAAAGAGGAGGGAGACACGGGGAGAGAGAGGAGGGAGACACGGGGAGAGAGAGGAGGGAGACACGGGGAGAGAGAGGAGGGAGACACGGGGAGAGAGAGGAGGGAGACACGGGGATAGAGAGGAGTGAGACACGGGGAGAGTGAGGAGTGAGACACGGGGAGAGAGAGGAGTGAGACACGGGGAGAGGAGAGAGCCACGGGGAGATAGAGGAGGGAGACACGGGGAAAGATAGGAGTGAGACACGGGAGAGAGAGAGGAGGGAGACACGGGGAGAGAGAGGAGGGAGACACGGGGAGAGAGAGGAGGGAGACAAAGGAGGCACCTGTGGGCCAGGTGCCTCCTTTGTCTCCCCCCCACCACCGCCACTGCTGATGTGTCCACACCGAGCTTGGTTCTCACCTTCTTCTGGCTGAGTCGACGTAGAGGAGGCCCAGCCAGCGAGCCGCCACGAGCCACCGACGGTGGCCGTGAGCGGGAATCCAAATCAGCCTCTCGCCACCCACAATGCACAGCGCCGCCTCCACTCGCCCCGGCCTCAACGGAAGTAGCAGCTGGGGGGGGTGAGGGGGGTGAGGGAGGACATGGGGGGTGGCGCAGGGGGAGTTATGGGGTTGAGGGGTTATTCATAATAAAGGTTTATTTGGGTTAGTCTCCAACACACCGATGTGCTAAAGTAGAAACTAATTGGCACTCTTTATTCACGTGACAAACTTTATTAATTGGCTGTATCGGGTGGTGACGGGTTTTAAGACACATTTATATTTACACGATCTTACCGCAAAAAAAAACCTTTATAATGGGATTGGAGAAAGTTAGGGGTTCAAAGGGTTAGGGGGTTGGATTTAGAGGCATAGGGGTTTAGTGGGTGAGGGGTTTAGAGGGTGAGGGGTTTAAGGGGATTAAAAAGGTGAGGGTGTTAAGGGTGAAGGGGATTAGAGGGTTATAGTTTTCGGAGTACAGGGCTTTTGAGGGTTAGGGGTATAAAGCCTTATGTGTTTATAGGGTTAGGGTTTTAGGAATCTATGGGTCTGTGATTAACACAGAACCCTATGGGAGACCCAATGATTAACACTGAAACCTATGGGAGACCCAGTGATTAACACTGAACTCTATTGGAGCCCCAGTGAGTAACACTCAACCCTATGGGAGCCCCAGTGATTAACAACGAAATCACGACGTTTCGGAGGCAACACAAGCTTCCGTCTTCAGGTGGCACCGTCACAGCAAAATTACTGCTGTGACGGTGCCACCTGAAGACGGAAGCTTGTGTTGCCTCCGAAACGTCGTGATTTAATTTATTTTTATTTTATTTTGTAACCTACGTGACTTTACCGAAAAAACTAAAGAGTATGGACCCTTGCAGTCACGAAAACTTCAAATCTAGAATTAACAACGAACCCTAAGGGAGCCCCAGTAATTAACACTGAACCCTATGGGAGCCCCAGTGATTAACACAGAACTCTATGGGAGACCCAATGATTAACACTGAAACCTATGGGAGACCCAGTGATTAACACTGAACTCTATTGGAGCCCCAGTGAGTAACACTCAACCCTATGGGAGCCCCAGTGATTAACAACGAAATCACGACGTTTCGGAGGCAACACAAGCTTCCGTCTTCAGGTGGCACCGTCACAGCAAAATTACTGCTGTGACGGTGCCACCTGAAGACGGAAGCTTGTGTTGCCTCCGAAACGTCGTGATTTAATTTATTTTTATTTTATTTTGTAACCTACGTGACTTTACCGAAAAAACTAAAGAGTATGGACCCTTGCAGTCACGAAAACTTCAAATCTAGAATTAACAACGAACCCTAAGGGAGCCCCAGTAATTAACACTGAACCCTATGGGAGCCCCAGTGATTAACACAGAACTCTATGGGAGACCCAGTGTTTAACACTGAACCCTATGGGAGACCCAGTGATTAACACAGAACTCTATGGGAGCCCCAGTGATTAACACTGAACTGTTGTATCCTAACCCTTCTTCCATAATTGAGATTAATAATATTTGATGATTTTTATATATTATCTTTTTACTTGTTTTTTTTAATGAGTGAAACACACCAAAGCGCACCAAACTGCAAAACACCAGGTGTTGTTAAGTAATGAACGAGAGGAGGGCTAGGATGACAGAATTGCAACCTTGCTTCAAGGCAAAGGCAGTGAAAGGAAGCAGAGGCGCCTTTGTCTAAGTCATAACCACAGAAAGCCAGGAATCATCACTGATTGTGTGTTAGGGATTCCGAGCTAATTAGAACACGTGCACACAGAAAGGGAGGTAGAAGCACGCCTTGTTCTCCTGCAGCTGAGGAATCAAAGATAAACCCAAAAAGGCCTTGGACCTGAAATTAAGAATAACATTCCCAGAGCAGAAGGTTGGAGGGCCACAGGGAGCTGATTTAAAAGAGTGTTGTATATCTCTCAAGGCGGGCAAGACCCAGCTGAATAACAAGCCTGCGGGGGTCACCAGAAGTTCGCATTCGCCTAGTTAAGACAAAAAGCTCAATTATTCTGTATTGCTATTAAAGTAACGTTAAAGTCGGAATTTAACAACAGGGTAGGCTAAAGTTATTGATATTCACACCCACTCCAATTAAACCAGGCCACAAGTTACGCCTACTGAACCATCACCATCATTAAGTCAAATGAAATGTTATTTCCATACTTTAATACTTTCTATGCAACTCGACCCGAAGCATATGACAATCAGAACCTTCCTAAGTCAAAATTGAATCGCACCCAGACAGGAGCGAATATATCATATATAAGGTTGAAGAGGGAAGGAAATTAAGAGCACGGCGGCAGACAAAAACCAGAACTGACTCCAAGGCTCAACCGCCCTCACCTCAGGAGTGACGGAAATTAATGAGGCCTTGAACAACGGCCAGCTGGACGGCAACAACAACGGCGAGCAGAGATAGGGTGGGGCAAAGACTGCGGAGCTATGAAATGCAACTTCGTGTCAGTAAAGCTCTGACAAACAAGTTAAGTAAAAGACATCACAATACATAATATCTACATAACATCAATGTTAACGCTATTCACCGTAAACTAAAGTAAAACTTATGAAAAGCCAGGATAACGGGATGAATCACCACCAGGTCGAATATAATACATAATTAAAAAAAAACGATGTTAAACCCAGGGTCGGAGAGGAAGGGAGATCCCGGCCGTCTTTGTATCCCCGCAGCGCGGGATAGGAGTGTGTATACGCTCGGGGAAACACCTCCACTTGAGTCAAGCACCACGATGGGAAACGACAGACCTTAGGTTACATACAGAATCATAACTGTGAAATAGTAAGGGACAAATGTTAACTTAAAACTTTTAACCATTTCTTTGTGCGCCGGGTCGGAGAGAGCATTGCCCCTCCCTCCAGGTGGTGCGAACAAAGACGCCTATGAGACATTTGTAACGTCTGTGTTTTGGGTTCATGAAGAAGGCCAGACAGAGAGACGACCTCGAGGCAATTTGTAACATCTGATTGTTTGCTCGTGGGTTCATGGAGGGAGTGGGACAACGGAATACCGTGAGTAATGCACACAAGGACATACGGACGTACGGACACACACATGGACACACCTGCCTACGGACAGATCCTGACACAGCAAAAATCGGAAAGAAGCCCCGCCTTGTGGGCGGGATCCAGGGGGATTTTTCGGCATAAAGTAAAGGATCCTGAGCATTGGAAATCAGTGCGACGGGAGGGTCGACTCAGGAACGAGTGCGACCAGAGTGGGTCCACTCAGGAGTGCGACCAGCGGGTCCACTCAGGAGTGCGACCAGAGGGTCGACTCAGGAGCGAGGGCGACCAGCGGGTCGACCCAGGAGCGAGCTCGACCGGGAGGGTCGACTCAGGAGCGAGCTGCGACCAGCGGGTCGGCTCGACTCATCTTCAGCTCGTCAACCTCTGCCGAATCGGGGGTCTCTGCTGCCACCGGAGTGGTGAGCATCGCGGTTCGGCGACAACCCAGAGCTGCACGCTACGAGCGAGTTGTGGGCGCCACCTACTGACCGGGTTCCGAACTGCGACAGCGTATCAACAGCCATCCGAACCAGTTCGCCACGGTGACAGGGGATCGACTGATACGTATGACGCGCACCGCCCCCTCACCACACGACCACCAGGCGTCTGTTTGACCTAAAGAATCGACTCCGAACACTGACTATTCAAGACAACTCTTACCACTCAAAAACACTCGAACCCATAAGCCATCCGTGGCTGGAAAGCATCACAACGAGACCGAGTGATGGCCCTCCGTCGTTTATAAGAGTATTCTTAATTTTTATCTTTAATATTTAGTGGGCTGTACTCTTAATCGCATAAATTCCCAACAGATCCATCAATACGAACTGATTCTTGGCACCTCCTTCCGCCGAGCCACGCTCACGTGGGGAGTGGTGGCCCACCGGATCCTTATCAGGTGATCTGGTCCCCAATTAGTAAACTTGGTATAAGATAACGAGCTTCGGAAAAGGAGCACCGTCGCAGGCCCTTACTCCGAGCCGTTCTGTTGTCAGATAACCTGCCGATGTATCTGTTGAGATTGGTGCCTTTAAGAATAATAACTGTTTTTGATTGTGTTTTTTTTATCGCCGTATAATCTTTCAAGTATCTTTCAGTCATAATCGCCGCACGTACTCGCATCCTCTACAGAATATTCAACTGTCCCGTGACCCAAGGTGTTAACAACGTGATAAGGGTTGCGTATGGTCAATAAGGAGTGTGGTACTGCGTGAACAATATTGAGTATAATCATTCATTAGCGTTAAGGTTTTCTTAGCATAGTATTTGCATATTTCAACGACTCTCTCTCTCACTAACAACCATCGCGTTATGAACAATATTGAGTATAATCATTCATTAACATTAAGGTTTTCTTAGCATAGTATTTGCATATTTCAACGACTCTCTCTCTCACTAACAACCATCGCGTTATGAACAATATTGAGTATAATCATTCATTAACATTAAGGTTTTCTTAGCATAGTATTTGCGTGTTTTAACGACTCTCTCTCACTAACAACCATCGCGTTATGCGGGATCCATGTGCAGTTGTCAAAGTGAAATCAGACAATCGTTGATGATACTGTATTGATGCCGTGTTGACGTTCCGGGATTGAGAGTTCGCATATTATATCATAGTTAAGGTTGAATTAGTAATAAATTGATTAATACAGAAGTGGTTGTGTGATTCTTTCCTGAAATCTATGCATAAGATCTGCTTCTGCGTTGAGATTTGAACTTGGTGACCTTAATAAACACACTAATACATACTCAGTAAATGTTAAAGCGATAACGGGGTGAACCGGGGACCTAAAAATATAACCACGAATAAAAACTCTGGGAATGTTAAAGCGAGAATGAGACGAACCTAGACAACGATGCCGAGTTAATCTAAGTTAATCTTGCATACTTACACCACACCTGCATAACTGCATACGATTAATTGCCTTATTCCGATCGATAACCCACCCTCGTCACCAAGGCGGGGTCTGGTTATCATAACGACTTGTATTATCATAATTACACCCACTCGCATA